GTAATTTTTTGCTATGTCTAGAGGAATAAGTAAAAGTAAAAGCGTATTAATTCTGATTATTTCTTTTAATTATCCGATTTTGATGCCGACGATTTTATGGCAAAAATATTTCACTAAAAGCTTTCACTTTTTTTTTGACGGAATATTTGTAACAACATTTTTTGCTAAGTAGTCTAGCCTTTTATTTTGTATCACCTTTTCACATTTTTACCATTTCTTCTGCTAATTGCAATCTGCAAATGTGCAAATATATTTATGCGGAAGGAGGGAGGGGGGTTTTGTAATTTTTTATGCTAAAAGCAATTGAGAGAAATGTAATGGACATTGAAGACAACTGGACGATTGAACCGGAATTTGTAACAAATAAGTTTAATGCATTGCTGATATCACTTTATTGAAACGACGGCAACTACGGGACGATGTTAAATTTCTTAATGTTTCATTAAGCAAATTGCCTTAGCATTCTGTAACATTTAAAGTAGTGTTTTTATTTCTTCTTCTTAAATCAAATTTCAGATGAAAAATGTTTTTAGTTGTAAATGTATTTCTGTTTTACCATTTTTTTTTTCGTTTTTTATTCTTTTTTTTTTTCAATCACTCATTCAAGAGTTTTCATCATTAAGCAGTTTTAAACATTAAAGAGCTTAATCATTCAAAAAGAACTGAGAAGAAAAAAGATAAAACCACTAGCTGAACAACGGGTGAAGAGTACTGAAGAAAAAATGAATAAATCTTTTGTTGACACGGATTATTTTTTGTCTTTTTGTTATTAGCTTCAATAACGTAACTTAGTAGATGGGTAGATGGGTAAAACAAAACGCAAACAAACGATCCCAAAATTTTCCACTCTTTAATCAATCTTTTTTTCAACCTTTACTTGAAACTTTTTCAGTGCTTCGTATGCTTGAAGAACGCTTAGCTGAGGTGATTCGTGCTGGAGAAGTGATGGGTGTATCTGCAGATGAAATTCTGGCTCACCTGAAAATTCGTAACGGAGTAGCTAAAGAATGAATATAAACATTCTTTTTACTTGGTCAACAACTTGGAAAGGATTATTGTAATTGTTCAGAGAAAAAATGAATTTGAAAAAGTTATTATTTTATTCCTTTTTTTTTAAAACACATATGGAAAGGCTTGTGTTAAGGTGAACAGAAAGTTTACTAAAACAATAAATGTGACAGATTGAAAAGTAGAGAAGAAGTCACCGTCTGTTATATTGTTATCTGATTCTCATATTTCTTCATGTGCATTTTGATTGTAAGTTGTATATATTTTTCATACTCACTTATACGTGATCTGGTGATCTGAGTAAGACTTACATTTACTCTATTACATACTGAGTGGTAATAAGAAAAGACTCTTTAAGCTCTCCTAAATGTTGCTTAGTTTAACAGACCTTTTTTACCATTCATCCATTTGAAAACCAGTGCTTTTTGATTAGAGGCACATTCTAACTTCAAATGACAAAGATTGCAAGGGAACTATCATTTGAGCCAAACTTATGAATCAGTTATACAGATCCAGGTAACCACTGGTGTTCTCATTTGAATGATACGACGTTCCAAAGGGACAACTGTTTAACTGTTATGACATCATCATATGCA